AGAATAAAATTTTCTCCTATAAAAAGAATACCCTTAAGTTTTAAACGATTTCGTTATCAATTAAAAGTCGAACAATTTGGTATTTTATTTCATACGTCGAACTAATTGAATAAAGTGGGTGTTGAACAAATGTATTCATTTACTACTCGATTTTAACTCGATAGCAGTCTAATTGAATCATGTATCGCATATTTATATTGCAAGTTAATATTCAAAAACTATTTACGTATCCATTTTCGCATATTTTAAACAACCTGTATTAGGATACGGATAGGAAAATATCACATGAAGTTAGGACTTCATGTGATATTTTAGCTATAAATAAATAGCTACAAATCGAGATTTAGAAATAGTACTGTAAAACAAAAGGCTGCCTTATTTCGGGAATAAAAATGATGAAAGAACTCAGAACTCTTTGCTAAGCAGTTTTACTTACCTTACAACTACTGGAGAACGAGAAAAACTTCTAATCACATTTTCTACGCCCTATTGACATGAATCTAATACAAATTTGTTTCTACAAACACATTGACATTGTTATCCAAGTTCATTAACCTAATTACTAAATCAGTCAATTTAAAAACAAACAATTTGTTGCGTAAAACTGTATCAGTATTTACATCGATAGTAAAACGTCCTCCATGTTATTTACCGATTTCATTTGGAACGTCAAACGCTACTGTTCATGGTCACGCGACAATTATCCATGGCCTGCCACCGCCAGTCACTTACACCAATCATTCGAACCATGTATTTTGTACTAACTTGGCATTAGAACCAGTAATTTGGAATGAGCAGCTGTTTGCTCACGGTTCTAGTCGTAATGTAAGAAAACTAACACTTTCATACAAGTTAGAGATTTTTCGCAGATAATTCCTAACATATTGCAATTTCTTCCTATCCTTAAAAATTATTTAATAATACTTCTTCTAATCTGAAGATCATATCCATTACTTGTAAGAGCGACTGCATTCTTGATGCAAACAATTTTTATAACAAACTAGCTTCTGCCCGCGACTTCGTACGCGCAATCCCGTTTTTCCCGTACCCGTTCATGATTTTCGGTAAAAAGTAAAAATAAAATATTGGAAAAAAAGTATCCTATGTCCGTCTCCTGGTTCTAAGCTACTTCCTCACCATTTTTAGCCGTTCTTGAGTTATAAATAGTGTAACTAACACGGCTTTCTTTTATATACATAAATATACGGTTACATAAGTAAAACATCTCTGAAATGTGACATAAAGTTACAAAATCTCAATTGAATCCTGTAGCTGAATCCCACAAAGAGACAGTAGGTACTTAGTCCCAATATTCACACGTCTTTAAATTACACCAATCATATCTACGCACGCGACAAATGTCACTTATTACATACATACGAATATTACATAGTGCTGTATTCTTCAAACAATTTGATTCCTCGAAAAGATTTTGTTCGCTTTGCAAAATTCTACGTAAGATGTCCTCGTGAAACGTTAAATTCCAAGTAGATTAATCCCCTAGTGCCCTCCAGCTTTCTTTCAGTTTATTTTCCTTTCATTCTTTCTTGGTTGCGCTTTCGTGGTTGGTTGTACCTCTAAGAACTGTTTACTTGGGTTTTATTAGCTTTGTGCGTAAAATTATGTGAATGACAAGTCACATGCGTGTGTCGAATGAGGTTTATATTTGCACCCATAAGACACGCAAGATTTGTACACGTCTCAAGTGCTGAACAGATAGTAGTCCATTGTACCTTCATAGTACCTTTTTTATACAGAATTAACAAGAATTTAACTTACTATTATTAGATAGTCCTTTTATCGGTCGCATTGAATTTTTCTCCCGATTCTAGAGGTAGAACGAATACGAATCTTATTTCAATATGTCCGTAGCAATCCACGTGATTTGGTCCTCTGATTGAAACAGGCATCCGAAATATTATGGTTTTCGGAAGCTGTGCTGTTTAATACACGCCAAGCACGCCCGACAAACGTGACAGACGTCCTTACTCGAATCAAAAACGGAATAATAAAAAGAGAGATTAATTTGTGGTTGCTTGTGATATATATGTACATATATTTCCATAGCAAAAACCAATTCAATAAACATACACGTATTTTGATAAATAACAGCATTAGAAAGTAGATTTAAAATATCCCTCTCGATATTTGAATTCGATTGAAAAATCCAGTGCAACCGAGTACTTTTTGTCGTACTAAATCCATCTTACCGCACAGCTTGTTACAGCAGTTTAGATCGAAGAAATCGCATTAAACTCTCTGAGAAGATTTTAGTCTACAGATTTCTAGAAATGCGGTTGCCTTCTAAACCGAACGTAAACTTTAGGGTCTTCATTTTGTATTTATTGCGATTCCAAAGATCACCGCCATAATATTTTGTTAATGGCCCTTGGAACGACGCGATAGACATTGACTCTGAAACGAAACACGAAACTTTGTATTTCTTCATCGTGTAATAGGCCCCCCGGGCTCCATAATAATGTGACTTACTACATTCGCGCACCTCTCTAAATTATAGAGCTTTACGTGTCCCATCATGACGTGATTCTCCGCCATGAATCACGGCTGACGAGCTCATTTGTGTCAGGTAATGCCGTTGTATGGATTAATTAGCTTCAAAGGATTCTTGAGATTTGACATCCACATTTTGTATGTTCCGTGTCGGTATAATGTACGTAACAAAGTTAACAGAATGGGTACCTATGTGATAGTTGCGAGTGGGTAGGTATTCGACGCACATCCTTATAATTACGGTGAGATTAAATACATCACGTATTCCCGGAACGTTCGTTGGTATTTATTTATACGCTAGGGAGGGTTCATAAAGTAAAACAAATCCCTTAATATAAAGAGATTTGATTGTAAGCGCCTTGATTTTTTTTCCTATCTGGAACACACGGCGTGACCCACAAAGGAGGGTAAACAATCGTGCCATAAACACAGCTGCCTGTATTAATGTGATAGCTCTGAACAAAGTATACCTTCATTTTATTTAATCATAACTTTTATTTGTAGTAGATAAGTAAATATTTTTGGTAACGTCATGTTGGTTTGCTGGCTACTGGATACACAGAAACATTTACCTTATATTATTGTCCTGTTTTAGCTCTACTCAAGGAAAGTACACCAGTATTTTTTACACATCACGTTTTGACGTTCAAATGAATGATTCCATAGCGCATAAATGTATAAAATACTTATAAGATACAACAGTCTAGCTATTTGTGTACAGCTTTGTTGTAAATGTCGTTATATTGTACCTTTACCATGGCATACCATGTACCTTTTATTAATAAATAATAAACTTATCTTATTTCAAGTAATTTTAGCTACATAATAATATACCTACAGTGTGTAACATTGCTCAATTTTTCGAAACGTCCCACTGACCTGCGAGCTAAACCTTTGCAGGCATTACACAAACTGCGGCATGAAAGCTTTTGAGTGTTCTCCTGCGTTGGATATAAAGGGAATCTCATGTTTTTGTCAAGACCAAACTAATATGGCCATATTCATCTTGCCTTTTACAACGCTGACATATGTAGCAATGTGAAATAAGTTTCTCCACGCGCAGTCTAAAACAGTATATGTTAACCACACTGAAGTGATAATTAGCAAATGGTACAGCTATCAAAATGCCAGCCGAGTGGTTACCTACCTACATTTGAATGTCAAGCGTCGCGTACAACTCGAATATAAAGTAACCACGTTCATTAAAAAAATTTAACCACGTACGTAGGTACTAATTAATGAAACGACGTTACTTTGTGGTGAGTGTGCTGGCTGAGAGCACAGCATCAATATATTTTACGAATTTTTTTATGACCCTTGTCGAATTTTCAACGAAATTGATGCCGTGTACTTGGCAAAAGCCTTTTCGTTCACGATAAGCTTGTTAAAAAAAAGGTTGGAAGTATAAAAGCATTCTTTTATGACATTTTAGTTTTAATGGACGGTATGTTAATTTTATCAGGGCATGTTGTACAATATAAGCTGGCGTTGGAATCTTTCCAGCTGCGACACATTTTCTTAGTCAATAAACCTTAATAGTGGCACATAGAGGGTGGCTTGTCTGGGTAGATACAAGCTGCCTGCGAGCTTTTGTTATGACGCCACTGGAGAGACCTGTATTCGACAGAAAGCCATTTGGGTTACATAATGGTCACAAACATCCTCACGGAGTCTGGCCGACGTAGTGCCAGCTAATTTGGTCGTTCCTTTAAATTACACACTGTTCGATGTCGGGGCTGAAATGGATTAGTTACAGACGTTGCTTTAAAAAGATTTTGAGATATTTTATAGCCAATGGTCATGTATGTACAAGTAGCACTGATCGCAACAAGGAACTCGTAAATAATAATGTGATATATGAATTTTGTTTTACTTTTGTTTCGTAATGAGATTTCCAAAAAACTCGTATATAACAATCCATACATAATTATATGTTAATGTAGTAAGGGTCAAACTTCCCCGAACATTATCCATATCCGATAAGATACGGAAAACTAACTTTATTTCTTTCCGATCTTTACAAATCAGTTCTTAAACGTGTCGTGAAAGTTTTTCTTGTTATGATAATAATTTTCCGAACACAAAAAGAGGACAAAAGTGTACGTATTTCTTTACTTGTAATATTTTTGTTTGGTACAAAGTAAATGATACTTCTTTTGTCGAGTGGTAAGTGTGATTGTGGAGCATTAGATCTCTGGTTTGAAACCCAGATACATAGACCGGGGACGACGGGTTTCGTATATCGAGTTTGGAAATCTCAGTGATAGCACAAGTCTGAAATTACGCCTGATATTTGACAACAGTCTGTAATATTATAGTTGTTATTGGTTGTATTTATTAAATAACTGGTGAAAACTAGTTTACAAGGTCTATAGATTAGAAAATTATCTACTTACCCCTTCAGAAAATGACCGTCCAGATCATAATAACTTTCGAAAATAGGAAAGGAAAAAATGTATAATTTCTAAACATATTCATTTTCTGTGCAGAGGCTCCGGAGTGGGGTCCAAAATTGGTGTCAGACCGATCGTGGTACGGCGTGGGGTCTACGCTGCGAGCAACTTGTGCCTCGCCGCCTTCCCATCCACCAGCCAACCTGACCTTCGCACTAAATGGGCGTGAGGTAAGAATTTCCTCATAAATATTTGGTAAGGCTATCCGTCTCCAATATAAAGGCCATTTAAATTTAAAACAGATCTACATAACTGTTTAGCTTGGTTTATAAAAGCATTCAGAAACAGTCTAAAATATGGATAATACTTCAGTATTATGGAAAAGAGAAAACATGTCATAAGAAAAATATTTTTCTATTACTGATAAGTCTGATGTGACGATCCATAAATGAAACAACCACTTCGAAAACTCTTTGCCATATCGTTTAGGACACGACAAAGGTAATTTGCAGAAATTAATACTAGAACGAAAAACACGAGATTTTAAGGGCATATGAAGTCATGAACAACAGCTACTAGTTAATAGGGTTCAAAATATTTATAAATTTGTACAGACTATCGTAGTTCGTAACTATGAAGCATTTAACGAGTAGAAAAATGAAGTGGTTAACTTTGCCCCACAAATTCACCTCACTCCATATGATATCACCTCAAATATTTACTAATATTATAAAGCTGAAGAGTTTGTTTTTTTGTTTGTTTGTTTGAACGCGCTAATCTCCGAAACTACTGATCCGAATTGACTAATTATTTTTGTGTTGTATAGTCCATTTATCGAGGAAGGCAATAGGCTATAAAATATCTCGTTACGATCAATAGGAGCCGAGCAGAGCGGGTGAAACCGCGCACAAGTAGCTAGTTACGTATATTTGTGGTAAAGACCCTTCTTCTGTTTTAATAGAAACTTCCGCCTATTTTAATGGAAGCATTTCATCAAATGTTAACATTAATAACATAAATGACGTTACAGTTGTGTAAACATTGTCACACAGCAGCAAAATAGATTTTGTCCGATTTTATTGCTATTTTCTAGTGTGACATTTGGCCAGATATACGAGTGCCCCGTAGCAAGGCTTAAAGACCAACGATAGGCTAGAAGAATCACCCTATGGAATGGCCCACAAGGCAAAAGAAACAGGGGGAGACCTTTTACGCGCTGGGCAGACGACATCAAAAAGGTAGCTGGCCCAAATTGGAACGAGATAGCGATAGGACGGAGAGAAATGATCGTCTTTGGAGGAGGCATTTACCCATCACGGGGTTAATGCTGAATGCAATAATAATAATAATGAAATAGATAAATAATAATTAACAACACTAACCAAACTTAAGTAAATATTAAATTATAATACAAATACAATAATTGTTTTTAATTTTTATTGTACTTTGTAAAATTCAGTAAGAAATAAAATGCTTTTTTATTTATTTTATTTTATATTATTTACTTATATATGAGTGATCATAGAATTTTATGTCTAATCAAGGAATCGTCTAACAGCTTGCCAAGCATAGACAGTATAGCACAGCCTCTCATATAGAGAATCGAGATTCATAGTTCAGCAATTGACTATCGGACTGTTGATGATGAAATTCTACAAAAAATTTAGAACAATCCATAGTTCCATACACACCACGTACAGTATACAAACAGTAGTTTTCAAAACCCAATTACAGTTTAGAAAGAATAGAAAATATACCTGTGTGGTTCGAGTTTGACGTTTAAATCAATATTAGTTCTAGCAGCTAGTAACCGAAGTCAAAGATAACTAAAGTACGGCGTTGTAATAATAACTCGAGTAGGTCAGCAGATCGATGTGTTATTATTATGGATCCAACACTGTTTGCTGACGGATCTTTTATAATTAAATAGTTTGATTAGTTTACTCACCCATCTAAGGCCAAAATGTAATTTGATATTGATGGAAAACCATGATCATAAGCTTACTGAAATGTTTCAATAAGCTTTTTTTATAAGGGGGGAAAATCATTGAATTTCTCCCGCCTGGGTGAGGTGGGAGGCAGTGTTAGACTCTTACTGGCTAAAAATCACCCCGTTCCTACTCCTGCATTTCGAGCCGGAGCCTCGGTAATCCGTTAGGTTCTCTGCGGTTCCGAATCGACATGGGCTCTATTGGACCCCATCCGTGGTGGTCTGATCGCTCTTTGAGGCGAGCGCGGAACGCGACACGCCGTACGCTCGGGTCTGGTTCTGTTCGGGCGGCGAGCCACTCATGCTCGCCGTCCGCAGGCCCGCGCTTACGGTGGCCGGAGATCGTCCCGCAATTCCCAAGGCCTGAGTGTCCTTCGCGGTGGCGTTTCAATAAGCTTATGATCATAGTCTATTTTATCCATCCACGTGTTAAGCAGTTTTAGAAAGATTTCAGTAAATGGCATGAAAGATTTGGACCAATATTCTGTGTAAACTTACTGTACAGCATACACTAAATGACAACATGACATAGCAATATCAGTCCAAGATGAAAAGCTATTCACCGGTACTAGTTCTATTGAAATAGGAACGGGACTATGGGCGAAAACTGATTGAAATCCCAGTCTCCGTGCTGTTAAGTTGTATTTCATAACAGATAACTCCTATCATTTTACCAGACTCATCAACAGTTTACTTCTGGACTATGCCCCCTGTACGTAAAAGGACTAGTATATAAAACAACTCAATTTAAAATACAGAAGATAAACCTCCTTTTCAAAACAAATTGATGAAATAGTAGCGCACTAATAGACCATTTTGTAACAAGACAATGCAAAGTAAATCCCAAAATTAAATAGATGTAAGGGTCAGGTGAGCATCATGTAACTAACCTAACCATAAAGATAAGAAAATCTTCCGAACACCCCGAAGTTGCCGTATCAGCTCGGAAAATAGGTTAAATATAATAAAATAGAGGAAATTTGTAGCCATTAATGTGGATGTTTAACAGAAATTAAGGCCACGGGGTTGAGAGGACATTAGGAGCTTAACTCGGGACCATGTTACACCGGGGGTTAAAACTAACCTTTTAATCTCAGTAGTTTCAACTTATCTCTGAAAATTATTTTTTTAATGTGCTATTGTTTTAGTTCTGGTTTGGTTGTTGTACATTTATGGTTTTTTATTGGAGTGTTATGTTATTTTAATAATGACTTATGAACTTTTCTAAATAGTTTAGATGATTGCGTGTTTGTATTCGATTCGGTTTTTTTTGTAGAGTCTTTACAAAGAAACTAAGACAGACTCAAAGCTAAGTCCACATAATTAATAATAATATCATAGTAACTATCGTGAAACATACGAAACTAACTAAAAATTGCGGGTTACTCACGTGAATATACTGAGAAAAATGCTACTACATAGTTTCGAACCACAGAGGGGTTCTTCCCCATGAGCAGCGTCTGTGGTCGAGAGAACCTCACTGTGGTTCGAAACTAGTATTTTTTTGTTAATTTCATAGTTAACACTATAAACGTTTATTTTGATATGGATCACATTGTTTTACGATAGTTAATTCTAAACAATTATGTAGAAATACCTACAACTATAGTTGCCAAAAATAATTAATATTGAAACGTTGATTATTTCAAACATGTTATACATATTTTTAAAATATATTTTCCCATTTACTGTCTAAGTATGGACATTTTATTTAGGTATAACCTATTTTTAGACTTTTATGATTACCTAACATTCATATTAATCAATCATTGTTTGTTTCTGTATTACAATACAATAAACATTTTCAACGACTGTTTTGCATGACGAGTAAAATGTTCACGTAGGTAATATCCCAAACATTTATTAATTGAAAACAACTTTATTCTCTAGCATTCTATATACACGAGGCTAAAATGGGAATACAAATTCCTTTTAGCAATAATATCTGTGCGAATAATACAAATGGAGCATGAGACGCAAATATTTTACTGACGAACTATTGATATTAAAAATGCGTTTGATCAGCATTCAGCGGACGGCTACGGACGGGTCCGCCATGTCCACGACCGAACAATGGACCAGTTTCTACTTGCTTTACTTTGATGCGACCGTTGTTTTTGCCGGCATCACTGCCCGCTGCGTAGGCGAGTTCATTAATCACAAAACAGCTCAGAGCTATATAAGCTTCCTTTATCTAACGTAGAGCTGTGTAATATCCGTAATATTTCCCGCTCCACCGCTGGGTGCGTCTCAGTATTTTATTATATTGTATTTTTCTCAGATCGACATGGAGACTGTGATACACGAGTTGCCGACATGGTTCAAATGGGATCCTCCTCCGAAGGCTGAAACTACGACTACGGAGCAGCCAGATGATGATGTGAACTTCAATATTTTTCACGATGAGGGGAATATACAGTACTTGGACGAGTCGTATATAAATTTGCATAAAGAGGAAATCAGGAGGCCTCCGAAGGAGAGTTTGAAGCCAACGTTCGAGAGAACGGGTCCAGATAACCGTCTGCCTTCTGTCGGGGACGTGTCGTTCGTGGTTCGGAACGAGGCGTTTGAGCGTGGCAGTCTCCGGCTGACCTGCATAGCGAGCATATACAACTTGTACGCGGCACGCGCCGAACTAATTTTCGATATGGAGCAACCAGAGGTTGCCTCCGTGCTAGGCGTCCGTAATAGAGCAGTAGGTAAGTGCAATCGATACTTGTGTAGCGACTTCGGCTCGCGAAATAGCGTCGGGATAAAACACTAACCCTTTTCTCATATCATTTTGTAACACTAAGTCTAGATGACGATACATTGCCCAATGTAACCATTTCCTTTCAAGGTATTTACATTAAATACAGTCATAGTACGAACGCAATCTTAATTTAGATGGTATCAAATATCAAAATTAGACATGCGATCACTATTTATTTATTACTTTTTTTTTATTTTATTATTTTATTTTCTATTTTATTATCTATTTATTATTTTATTATCTAATACATATTTATTACAGTAAATAGTGAGAATCTAAAGATTTAACCAAACAAGCTTAGTATACCTAGATGTTATCTAATATACAACTAAATTTAAAAATAAAGTGCATCGCAGGACCTAAATAGCCGCGGACCGCTTTGGATAAAAGTGCACAGTCCGGTAATGCGGTTTAGATCTCGAGCAAATTTCCCCTGGCAGCACTATAAATAGGACACTGAACACGTATTCTTGATACATTTTCTTCATACAATAACACTTTTATTTACTGTCGGAAATATTGTTCAATTTTAGCGATAACTGCCTTTTTGATCTACCGGTTGCAAGCGCGATTGCCAAGTAAGGCGTATAGGATTCGATTGGACCCTGTTTTTGGGACAATTGTCTGATGAGTTTAGGTTACACTACTGTTTGTCATAACTGGCCAAAAGTAGTTTTTACATTTACTATTTAAGCTCCTACTCATCACATTGACAAATAAATGGTATGCTGTTATGTATTAAACCGATAACAATATTCAATATTGTTTCAGATTCAACGAGACTTTGGCGAATACCAACCACCCTCATCCCACTGCTGTACAGTATCCGGTAGTTCATTTAACAACTTTACTATTAAGTACAAAGTTATTTTAAGTACTATTCACATTAAAATGACTCTCATTGTGTACAAATTCATTGAACATATCCAATCTCATGAATTTACGTAATACGTATATTTCGTTGTACCACAATGTCTTATTTTCCTAAGTAGATAGTGATGCGAATATCGCGATATATTTATATTGTTTTTTAAAAAGAGAATTGTTTATAATATTTTAGTCTTAGGTCAAACTGGCCAAATAGATTTAAATAAAGAATTAATCCGAGTGTAAGATTAGATGGATTGTTATTATACAATTTGTAGAGGTTGTCCGATAATAAAATTAATAGTACTAAAAAAAACAACTGTCACTAGACCATTTTTCTAATCAATATTAAAGATTTAGGACAAAAATCCTAATACGAAATACATATTTTATGTAAATAATAGAGTCCTAATAAATACAGAATTTGTTCTAATTCAAAAACTATATCTTGAAGACGTTTAACGTTGATGTCGCGGACTACTTGTACATAATAATGTGATAGCTAATAATTAAAATTGTTAGTTTAAACAGTACGTTTGGAAAGTACCTTGTACACAATCTATGTGAACCTTATCTTCCATATTTGCAAAGTATCAACGGTATAAAACCTATATTTGTAAAAGAAAATTTAATTTCATTATAAGTTGGGGCATATTTTTTACCCTTGACAAAGACTGATGAATAAAGATTAAAGCAAGGAAGATACATGTCATGCGGTTCTGTTTTCTCTGTATAAAATTTATTTATTATACTCAAATATACTGTTTTATCGGTAAATATAATAATTTTATCAGCCACCTTCGTCATTCCGATTAAGGAAAGATTTTTATCACTTTTAAGATGAATTTAAATGTCGGACGTGTCTATAAGGTTAGATACTTGTTATTAAAATATTGTAAATAAATAGTTATAACGTCTAAAACTATGTAAATGAATATGAATGAATAGAATAAAGAAATATGTTGGATTTGTCTATGAAAATATTTTATTTCTGTGTTGAGTAAGTCCTTGAAAAAGTTCGTCTATTTTTATCCTAATCTATTATTAAAACTGACTGCCTTGTTGGCAGCATGGGGTCTCGGGTTCGATTTCCAGGTCGGTTACTGAGTTTAAAAAAAATCTCAGTAGTACATATAAATAGTGAAAAGTGGGTGTTACATTGTACAGTGGCATCATGCATTAGGTGCCGTAATGTGCACCTCTACCTACCCTTCGGTGATAAAATGCGTGATGTTATGTTGTTTTCATTAAAAACTTATTCCACGCATTAGTTAATATGACTGTCAGAGTACAAGTGTGGTACTAATCAAATTACATAAGACCACATGGCAACACGAGCATCAAACAAATAATATAACACTTAGTATATTGATAGACAACATTCCCGCTCACAGCCACGTACTTAGGAAGAATAACGAAGTAATTTCCCCTTGGAAGAGTTCCACCTAAGCCTCAATCAATCATAGTAGGAGATTGAGTCCACAATAAACAGTAGAAAATCCAGCTATTATCCTTATGGAGAAAATCATTTATTGAGCAGTTATTGTTGGAGAAAATGGATTAATCGCGCTCGAATCAAGCATGATGTATTACTTGTACGGACTCTAATTTGCGAAGGTATATGAGTGAGAATAGATTCTTACTAAAGATAATAAAATAACAAAAAAACTTTCCCGGCACGTGTGCTATCGACAGAATGATGGATTAAAGTATAATTTGTTTGTAAACAAGGCCATAACATCTACCAAGCGGTTGTTTAGAACATAAAATGAAAGTCTATTTTTATTATTATTGGAATGTAACCGCTGGAAAATCCATTTACGAACGTATGGGTAATTTTGATACAGGCGAATACTTATTATATCGCCGCCCCAGGGCAGGGCGAGCTTACCCGCAACAAAACCAACAATTTATTTTCCAGTATTTACCAATGTCGGCAACCGCCGTGTGGCGCTATTGCAAAACCAATAACAATCAGTTATCCCGTTCTAAGGCTTTCGCCCGCCGACACTATTGTCTGGACTCTTCGTTAGGCGCTCTTTTCATTTACCCAGTTGCATTGATTGGACCAAATCCATCACGGCCCACAGAGCCCTTTCTGCTTGCCCATTGATTATTCCCCCAGTTTCGTGAAAATGAAACTTTTATGAATCGACGACGGAGCTCGTGACCCTTAACTAACTTTGAACTCGATAGAAACGGGTTTACGAGTAAATCGAATGAAAAATTCATAAATTATAATGCTTAAGTAATAACAACGTGAGTTTACAAGTTAAATAGATTACGGTAGACGCAGGGCTGTGTGGAAATTATTATGGACTTTGAAAATAAAGGGATGCTCATTTAGTAAAAGTTTAAATAAATCTACAGTCGGTCTTAAAAGCAAAGTTAAAGTTTGTTTGTGATAGCCGCGAGCGTGTTCTGGACAGCCGCAGAAAGCACTCATGAGTGGGGTGTTCGGTATTTACGAGTCTGTAGCTAAATACATTGAGAGTAGGTAATATGTAAGCGTTAACGAAATTAGAGTTGAGTGGATAATTAAACGAGCAGAATAGATTCTCTAACAAAATGAAGTACAAATTTATTTGACCTCAACATTTTTAAACATTTTTCTAAAGTAAAATATATATACCTAACAACGTCATTACTATACAATCTCCTGTAGGTACCTACAGCTCCAACATCAATTATACAACCCTTAATTAACGTGATTTGAAAATGAAAATCATAGAATGAAATTAATTATTAATATTGTTTATTTAGCTTCTGAGTTCCTAAATTAAGTCTTTGCCACTTAAGCCGACCTCAGAACCCACTCGATGCCTATTCAAGGGCGAGTGCTCTTTAAACTGAAAGGAAATCCCTCTGAGAAATGAATTAATCCGTGTTTCGCTCAGAATTTGTTCTTTACGTAAATCGGTTCACATTTTTATCCTTTTCGAGCCTTTGTAGCTTCACTCAGCTATGAATATTTGTTAGCATTAAGAAATACTTAAAACAATTTTTCAAATTAGATAATATCAGAGTTTTTGGTGCGAGAAGAATATATATTTTTCAACGGTATAATAAGTTGGCATTCCAGAGTAAGAAGGCTATAAATAACATCATTCATAAGCACGTAAGAGACCTCATTTTGTATTCAAATTCTTAAGAAAACACAAGAACTTAGTTTCATTTCGTAACTTTTTACGGGTACTAGGAAAAACATCAAAGTCGTTACAACCGATTGCGTTTTCAATAGAAAGAACCATTGATTCAGAAAACGTAAAGATAAAATCTGTGCAAAACAAGGTTTTCCACGGAGGATGACATGAAATATTGTCAGTTTTCCGTCAATATGCATTGTAAAGTAGAGTGATGCGGCGGGCATCGACAGGGTTGACATGCGATCGCCGCACGCGACCCGCTGTCAACAAGGCCTTGTTTGTTCTGACCTCGTGTTTGTGCGCCTGACATCCCTGGATGTGTGGCTAAATACTCATCATCTTTGTATCAACAGACCAGCGGGATAATGGACGTATATCGATCCAGTGCAGCAATTTTGGGGGAAATCAATGTAATGGCGAACCAACTGAAATGTGGTTGTGGTTTATACTGTAAGATACCTATTTTAGCTTGTAGGTTCATGATTAATGACATCACCTGACAGCGGTTAGCAGATTAACTGATATTACATGTAATTAAGTATAAAGATAATGCAAGCCCAGCAAAAATAAGGCAAAAATATCGGAATGTAGGTGCAATGCGCTGTTTGCGCTTCGTCATGACTTTATGTGTTTATTAACGATCACGCTTTTTATATTATTTTCGTTTTATATGAAAACTGATCTTGTGGATTCGTTTTTTATTTGTTTTTTAGTCCAATTGTTTTATTTTTCACCGCGTAGGTATCTGCAAATGTCGTGCTTCGACAGGTTGGGTTTTACGTTGCATAAATTCGCAGTACTGACTATTTTAGTTTTCGTGAAAAATTGATTTTTGTTACGTTTAGGTACAAAAAGGCTTAGGTATATTGACGACAGGTATTTGCTATCTTCATGACGCAATTAGAAAATTATCTGCGTATACATGTACGGTAATTTATGCGTTTGATTACGTCACTATATTTATCAATTCGTAGATAAAATCTTAAAGGAAACTTATTCTTTAAACTTCTACCACCTGACACCTGTTTTTGACAAACCGATAACATTTTGGTATCAATCGGAAACGATAGTATAAATAAACATACCTATTGTTTTTACATACCTACTTGATTATATGTCTACCGTAAGAAATAGCTATTATCGTGAAATAGATGAAAGGACAATTTACAAAATAGGTAAATACCATTTTAACTAACAGAGAATATTCATTCACGACCGTACCATATATGTTTTGTTTATTAATTCCAAGATTACTTAAAACTAAACAAATAATGAAACACCTGTCAAAGTACTTCACAACGTTTTTATAATAACTATCGTGAGACATAGGTACTAAATTAACTAAAAATCACGGGTTCTTATATGATATATGGTATATAGGGGCTCTTCCTCATAAGGTATGAGGAAGAACCCCTCTGTGATTCGAAACCAGTAGAGCTTTTCTCAGTATATTCACTTGAGTAACCCTCGTATTTAGTTAATTTAGGCTCTCACAAATTAATTTATTACAGATATAAAGGACCAGTTTAGTTATAAGTTCAATGTATTTCTATCTATTTACGTAATAATAATATCTTCATATTGTTAGAATTCAACTAAAACTTTCTTTCAAAGCAATACATATTTCCAAGAAATTTGTGAACAACGTAGCGGCAAGTGTTGACTGCACGGTTGGTGCGGTGGCTGGGCGACCGGCTGCCGTGCAACGTGTCGCGGGTTCGATTCCCGCACGGAACAACACTTTGTGTGATCCACAAATTGTTGTTTCGGGTCTGGATGTCATTGTGTATGTGAACTTGTATGTTTGTAAACGCACCCACGACACAGGAGAAAATCCTAATGTGGGGCAACGTTTTAAAAAAAAAAAAAAAAAAAAAAAAAGTTACTAGTCTAGCTTGCTTGGATACAGTATAATAACAGAGTTAGTGAGAACTTAATTCTAAAGGTTCTATATTTTTTTATAAAATACATTTAAAAACCGACTTCAACCCATTCTTTTTTGGAAGTCGGTTAATTAAATAACAAAGCCTTCTCCTTAGTACAACAATAAAGCCTTTTGAAAAACCGAATTAAAATCAGTTCAGCCAATCGCGAGACAATCGCGCACAAAAATATATATATACAGGTCAAACTGAGAACCTCTTTTTTTTTGAAGTCGGTTATAATGAAAGTCGTTTTAGTTACACTTTTTAAGTTTATAACTCAAGAACGACCTAATCGACCTGGCTGATAACAGAATTTTTACCCAATGATTTCCCGAAAATCCTACGAGACTAGACAGAAAAGGTTTTATAAAAGAACTGTTAATAATATACTGTTTACATTATGAAACACTGACGTCATCGTCTGAAATCGTAATACATTGTGAAATAAGTAAAACACAGCGACGTCAGTGTGTTGCTTATAAAAATTCATCATTATTCTTGTTCTATGCACTTCTGGCTCCTCTGGTATTGCTGTGTCCATGGGCGGTGCTGATTCTTACCATTAGGTGAACCGCCTGCTTGATTGGCCCCTATTCCATAAAAAATATGAGTTTGTGTACAGTCAAACATATTAAAATATAACACCACGCCCTTTATCCCTGAACGAACAGAGGAGCACATTACGGCACTTAATGCCACTGTACAATGTAACACTCACTTTTCACTATTTATGTTATGAGTCCCATATCAGGTGAGCCTATTACCCTATAAGTACCGGGTACAATTCGAGACTCTGTGCCACTATTAACGTTTTTTTAGAAAACCCAGTAGCTCTTTGTTCGACCCGGGAATCGAACCCGAGACCCCTTACCAACTCGGCCAACGAGGCAGTCATAGTTA